GGCGCCTTGTCTGCCCCGCTGAACCCAGAACCCTGGCTTTCCTTCCACCTGTCTTACCACCCGCATTCATATTCCGGCCACTGTTTCCGATCAGGAGAGCAGAGGAATTCTACAAACGTGGCCCTGCACCCAGAGGGTGAGCCCTTGAAGCCTGCGGTAACGGGACAGATGGGGACCCGCCCCCGAAGACATGGGCTTACCCACCACGCGGGCTCTGCAGCCTGGGCGTCCAGATCTCAGAGGTACACTGAGATGTTTTTCCAAGAACTGTTTTTAGTGGGGGCTCATATGATCTTAAGTCCAAGCCCAACCCTCACCCCAGTCCAGTTCAGAGTGGACCACACAACCCCCCACCACCGTTGCTTTTAAGTGACCGGGGTTCCCTAAGGACTGAACGCCGGTCTACAAGTGCATCAGCCTGGCTGTGGGCCGGTAAGACCTCATCTATGCCGACAGCTCAGTCTGCTGACCTCCGGGAAGGGATGTCGTCCGCCACATGCTCTCCCGTCACACAAACACCAACCGCTGGGCTCTGGGCCACCAGGTTCGGGCCTCCGGAGCCAATCGGCAGCTGCGCGAACGTCATCAGAGTCAAGGGAGATCTGAGTCCTCCAACCTCAGCTCCGGCTTGCACAAGCTGTCCACCCGCTTCAGCACCACGCTCTCGGGGCTCCCAGAACTACACGGTCCTCCCAGTCCAGGCCAAAGGGTCAGCGATCAGCAACTTTGGGGTCCCCGTCAAAGAGAGCTACTCTCCAGCTCATCACAACACCAACCTTTCCCTGTCACTCCCTGGATCCAGGAGCAGCTGCCTCCAGGGAAAGCTGGGGGTTGAGGCGTCTACACACCGGGGAAGGGGGACGATGGGAGCTCCCGGTCCTCACGGATGGGCCGTCTCCTCTGGCTTCTTCACCAGTGGGTGTGCCCCCCCATCCTTCCGACGCTCACAGGGCAGAGGCCCTCGGCTCTGCCACAGGGCCCAAGACCTCTCAGATAACTTCACGGGCACCACAATGTCATCCCCAGACCTGTGGCATCTTCTCCTGGGTTGCACCAAAGTTATCTAAGAGAAAGACCTTAAACCAACTGTCACCTCTGAGATGCAAGGATGGTTTGACATCCTCAAATCAATGTGACATATCCCATGAACAGAGCGAAAGAAAAGAATCATCATCGTCTCCGTAGATGTGGCAAAAGCATGTGACAAAACTCAACACCCATTCATGATAAAAATCATTAACCAATTAGGGATGGAAAGAACACATCTCAATATGCAGTCATTACACCAACGGCTCTGAATCTCCCCCTCTCTCTGATCTCTCCATTTACTGCAGAATTACTTACGGGGGATCCGCTCAAGCCTCTCTTGTCCTACTGTGACAGTCGTGGTCCGAAGCACCCAGAGCTAGGAGATGGTTGGTTCTTCCTCAAACACCCACAGAGCCCTTCCTTCCAGGTACTACAGTTCAAGCACCGGCCAAGTTCAGCCACCAACTGCTGGCAGCGCTCCGGGTGGCGGCTGCAACCGCCCCATCTCATGGAGGAGGAAAATGACGTGCAGACACACAACACGCACAGGATCGCACACGTGGCCAGTGGCTGCGGCCGGCAGAAGGGCACACGCCACCCCCACGGGCACCCCGCAGACACGTCCCAAACCTTGGAGCCTGTAAGAGGTTATGCTATGGGGCAAGGGGGACGAACATCGCAGACAAATTAAAGTTGTTCACCAGCTGACCTTCAGGAGAAACAGGGGAACCCAGTGGAATCATGGGGTCCTCTAAATGTTGGGGAGGGGGCTTGACAAGTCGCGGTCCGAGAGACATGATGACAGACACCACAGCCTTGGGGATGGAGGATGAAGAAGCCACGGGATGCGAGCAGGGAGCTAGAAAAGATGCCAAAACAGGGTCCCCCGGACCCTCCAGAAGGGAGCGCAGACGGCTGACACCTCAGTTTTAGCCCGGGCAGACCCATTTAGGACTTCCGACCTGCGCTTTTTAAGCCACTAAGTTTGCTACTGAAACAGATTTTTGTCCTGGGAGCGGGGACTGCTGTGACAACGCTGGACGTGGCTCTGGAACTGGGCAACAGAAAGAGGCAGGAAGCACACGAGACACGTGATGGAAAGAGCCTGCCTGGCCGTGCGCAGGCCGTCAGAAGTACGGACTCCAACGGCCCCGCCAGCGAGGGCGGAGGAGGAAGAAGGGAGCGGGGGAGAGAAACCCGTATTGTCTTTAGGGGACGCCAACCCGGCATGGAGACTTCAGGTAGAAACACGGGCGTTAAGGTGCTGCCACTGTGAGCTCAGATGGGAACAGGGAACGCGTTTCCGGAGGCTGGAGGAAAGGGGACTGAGTGGTCCAAACCGGTCCTCGTGGGACGGATCCTGGGGGAGCAACACTGAGCCTCACCCGCCCCCGGAGGCTGCAGCCTGAGGGACGAGGAAAGGAGGGGGCGGCGAGCCTGCAGGGCTCCGGGGACGGAGTTTCTCTGGATGATCTGGGGTGAAATGACGCCACTGCCTTCCTTGCTGCCCCTCCCCGCCCCCCCGGAGTCAAAAACCCACGAAGCTGCCGCCCCGGGCGTGGAGGAGGGGCTGGGCTGACTTCACCCAATGATGGGCACCATCTATCCAGACTGTTCCGGCCAAGACAGCGGTGGCGGATTCCGCTGGGGGCCCATCTCGTCCCCGGGCAACAACCTTTGGCTTCCAGAACGTATCAAACCTTCAGGGTGGTTGCCCCACACCTGTCTGCCAACTAGGCGAAGGTCAGAGCAAGGCACCACGAGAGGAACACACAGCACCTGGAAAGACCAAAGTCTGAACCCCTGAGCTTCTGCCAGCCTCCACGGCCCCATTCTGGACGTGGACGTGACCTTGCCCACTTTGGAAGGCCTCTTGTGTCCCTGAATCGGGTATCCATTAACCAGCCCAGCAAACCTCTCCTCCCCGCTCCAGCTTCCAGCAGGATGAGAGTAAGTCTCTCCAACCCTCCTCTCACCTCTTCTACAAAACAGTCTGCCACCGCGCACACCCTCCCAGTCCCCCCCTCACCCACCTCCCACGACCAGGGCCAGCACTAAAACCACCCTCCAGCGGGTCCTTACCCTCCACCTTGGTTATGGAAAGTCAAATGAACACAGCTTGAGACGCGATGTCTGTGGGATGGGAAGGACGTTCAAGAGGAAGACAGAAAAAGCCCACCCACAGTGGCAGGGATGCCAGGCACAGAGATGGCCTGTGTCAGCACCAACGCCAAGCCTTGGTCACCCTGTGTGTGTGCACACAGGTCAGCTGTGTGGGGACCAGGCCTGGCCACCCCCACCGCCCCAGGAGCCTGACCCAGCGCACACTAAGGATTTCAGGAACAAGAACGCAGGAGCCAGGAAATGAGTCGCCGCCCCCGGGGCTGAACAAGATGTCTAGGCACAGCATCTGCTGCGTTACAAAATCCTCTGGTGATCAGGGTCCCCGCTGCGTCACGTCCTGGTCACAGAAGAAAGTGGCCGGCCAAAATGACGTTGCTAGTTCACAGTCCTGACGCCAGAAAGCCTGCTCGGCACCAAAGGTCAGCTCCCACTCCGGAAACCCCACCTCCCACGGCAGCCGCCACAGGGCCGCTCAGGTGGGGACCCCAACGCCAATCCTGATCTTCCCCTTGTAAACCAAGGACAGCAACGAAGGCCAGCTAAAGGACCGACGGGGCCAGCCTCGCACAAGGCAGCCAAGTCACTTCAACGTGAAGTGACTTCTGGGGCTTATGCTCCATCCCTACCAAACGCTCAGCGCTACAAGGTCAGCTTCAGGGAAGCATCTGGGAACGTGTCTGTGCAGCCTGGAGAAGAGAGCAGGGATGGGTACACCTGTCCCTGGGAGACGCTGTCTTCACAGCGTGCTACAGATCATTTAGTCAGCCATCAACCACCGCACTAAAAGGGGCCGCACGAAAGGAAGCAGGACGGAGCAGGGCAGATGGACATCCGCGAACCCCATCGACTCCTCTGTAAACCGGGAGCTAGTTCGAATTTTGTCTACCCAGCAGAGCGGATGCCCAGGCTGGCAATCGAAACTTTCTAGACGGGACCTTCGGTATTTATGTCACTTCTGAAAGTGCTGGGCCTGTGGAAGTCAAGCGCACTGAAAATGCGCCCAGCGATTCAGCGCCTTTATTTACCTCAAACGCCCTCTCCCTCGTCCTGGGGAAGGAACCCTCGGATAGGACTGTCCTTACCAGTGCACTTTTGCAGAGTGAACAAACCGAAAGCCTGAATCAAGACCCTGTGGTGTGTTCTTTTGGAAAAACCACAGAAACTGCATGTACTAAAAACAATTCATTGCTATCTTAAAAATGCTTCTGCAGAAAACCACGTCAGAGCCCCGGGACAGACAGGAGCCGAGATCACGCAGGTGGCAAGTGAAGTGGGAAACGCAGATGTGGTCCCCCTGAGCCGGAGGTCTGCGCTCGGCTTCCTGGTCTCTAACCAAACCCTGAAAGCCTGCCTGGAAGGCTCTGAGGCTCAACTTCCTCCTTCATGAAGAAGGGGTCATTACACTAGCCGAGCTCAGCCCTCCAGCTGGTTGGGGGTATCAAATGAGATCCCGTCCATGAGCTTGGGGCTCCCGTCAGCAGGATGGTGGGACTCCGGAGCCAAGCGGACACACGGGGTACACAGACACCAGGAGCTTCTCTCTTTGGAGTGTCACCTGTCATGTCCCTAGACCCATGGAGAGGCTGAAGTTTCCCACCCAGCAAAGAACAAGCAGGGACAGAGAGGGGCCCAGATCGGCCTCCCACTGTGCCTAGGGACCTGATCCGATCTGGAGATGGGGTCACACGCAGTGCGAAGGCGGGACCCTGTGCAAAGGGCCCCAGCCTTGGGGGAAGTCCTGCCCTGCCCTGAGGGGCCCTGCCCTGGGACAGCCCGGCCTTGGGGAAGGCTTCTCTCCCGCCGCGGGGCCCCAGGATGGCGGGCCCCCGAGCGGTGTCCGCCCTCACCTGCGGTGTCCCAGATGGAGATGTTGTAGGAGCGCCACTGCTTTAGGTAGAAAGCACCGCCCACCGTGCTGACCGTGTCCGGGAAGCGCCGCTCCATGTACCTATGCAGCAGCGACGTCTTGCCCACGTTCATGTCCCCCAGAAGCACGATCTTCCCATCGGGCTTCCTCATCTTCCCGCAGGAAGCCCCCCTCCTGCTCCCCGCGCGGGTCCGGCCGGTGCGCGCCGGGCGCCGCTGGAGCAGCCGGTCGCCGCCCCCCGAGCGCCGGATCCCGGGACTCGCGAGGACCCAGACACGCGGAAACCCGGATTAGCGGAGACCCGGGCTCGCGCGGAGCCGGAACTTGCGGGGCCCCACCGGGACCCTCCGGCTCCGCCGCCTGGGAGCGCGGAAGAGGAAGTGGGTCTCGCAGCCCGGGCAGGAGAGAAGAACCCAGCCCAGCGTCCACCTGGGGTGTCCAGAGCGCGGCAGTCGGCGCCCGTCGGGGGTGCCCGGGCCCCGCCCCGGGCCCGCCCCCGGGCCCGCCCCCGTGGCCCCGCCCCATGCCCCTGGCCTCGTCCGGGCCCCGCCCCGCCCCCACCTCGCCCGCGCCCGCATTGCCCTTGGCTCCTGCACTGGACGGCGGACTCAGCCCCGCGGGCAGGGCGGGTGGTGCTCGGGCCGGAGGGTCGCTCGGGCAGCTCGCGCATGTGCCCCGCGACACCGCGGAGGAGGGGGGTCCCCTCGCCGGCGGCACGCTGAGGAGCACCGGTGCGGCCCTGCCAGCCCGGTGAACGGTGAGCGCGCGCTTCGGGGCCGCGCCCTCCCGTGTCCAGGGAGCCGCTCGTGCCGATTCCTGCCCCAACGCGGAAAAGTTCGGAGCGAAAACTTGCCTTCGTCAGTCACAGCGCTGCCGGCAAAACCTCTCCTTCCCTTTTCCAGTGGGCCTGGAGCGCTGCCGAAGTGCGCGCCGTGTGATCTGGAGTTCCGTTTGGAGAAAGCGCCGAGGCGAGTCGGCGCTGGTTCGAATCCTGCTGGGGGGGGTCTGCTGAGACCGCGGTGTGTGCCGGCGGGCCCCCGAGGAGAGGCCTGGGGCACTCGGGCGCTGGGACTCAAGGGCGCAGAGGTGGGGCGCATCACACTCGTGAGGTGACGGCCACACCGACCTTTCCTAAGTCCTGCTCGCTCCGTCCGGACGCCCCGTGCCGCGGTTCCCGCTCGCCGCCCCCTCTCAGAGCGTTACCTGCCCTCACACGCTCCGAAACAGGGGTTTTGGAGAGTTCTCCCGCCCCCTGTTCTCTAGGGCCCTGTCCTGCGCGGTTTTCCTACTGCGATCTGGAATGATCTGGAATCGTACCGCTTCTGCACACGTGGAACTCTGCAGCTTCTCCCTCCAGAACGCAAACTCCCTCGGCGGAGAACAGAGGCTCAAAGGAAAAGTAGATAAAAATTGAACTTCCTTGTAACCCGCAGCCCTTGGCCAGTGCTTGAGGCAGGCGGAGTCCTCCTCCAGGAAGCTCCCTATCTTAATGTGCCTTGCTAGAGGGAAAAAGGGAAAAACAGCTAGGTTTGAGAACAGCCAGGCTTCCAGGGCTGGGGGCTTCCTCCCTTTGTCTTTACCTCCCCCAGTTCCAAATATCCTCAAGATCCCCCGGCAGCTCTTTCTGCCCGCAGGTCCTGTCGCTTTGCTGTAATAAAACCACCTTTTTGCACCCAAGAAGTCTCAAGAATTCCTTCTGGACCTCCAGCTCCAGACCCCGACATTTCCACATGATCAGGAAGGGACTTTTTGTGGGGTGCTTACCCGTGAGGCTGGTGAAGCGGATCTTGCACCCTACAGTCACTCAAGAAAGCTTTGAGTCAGGGGCGCCTCGGTGGCTCCGTTGGTGAGGTGTCTGACTCTTGGTTTGGGCTCAGGTCATGATCTCAGGGTGGTGGGATCCAGCCTGGCGTCAGGCTCCGCACAGGGCATGGAGTCTGCTTAAGATTCTCTCTCTCCTTCTCGCTCTGCCCTTCCCCAGCTTGTGCTCTCTCTCTTTAAAAAAAAAGAAAGCAAGCTTTGAGTTAGGAAAGAATGGGTGAGTTCACCATCCTTGTGAGCCCAGAATGTGTGTCCTGAAAACACATGGTGACCAGCTATGCCATACCCTCTGGGTTTGCTCACCTGGGCAGCCCCCCAGCCGCCCATCCGTGTGGGCAGGCCCCTCCTCCAGGACCTCTTTGGTGAATGCCCCCCACCCTCCCAGCCCTCCCAGCAGTGAAGCCCCCCCGCCTTCTAACCAGCTCATTATATTCACTATTATTTCATTCTTAGCTCCTGCAGTAATTTTTTAAATTCCCTGGGGGCAGGGAGCATGTTTTAAGTGAAGTTTAAACTTCATTTCAGCTCAGCATGCCTTTCTCAGCTCCCCATCATTCACTAAAAGTGGGGCTTTGAGCTACCAGGGTCTTTGGGTTTTGTTCTCTGGTGTCTCCCAAGTTCCTAGAACTGGGCCACGGTCTGCGCTCCGGTCACGTGTATTTGAATACATTTCATTAACTGGAGGTTGTCGCCCCTTGAAAACCTGCTGCTCTCGGAGCAGGTTTGGAGGAGACGGATGGACCCAGGACCTAGCCCAGTGCCTGGCACATACAATTCGCTCAGCAAGTCGGGTAAAAAAAATTTTTAATTGTCCGGCACTTCGAACAACTAAATTCAACCACAAGAAAGTCTCCGTATCAAATTTCAGCCACTCCTAAAAAATGACGGAAGATTGTCAACCGCCTTATTCCTGTTCAGGAGCCTGGAGGGAGGAAGGAGGCAGATGTCGGCAGAGTCTGTTTCAGGAGCTACTTTCCTGCCAAGGACCATGTTTATTCTGCCTGGGCTTAAACCACTGGCCTAACAGGCTAATCCTTTTTCCAATTGCTAGATGAAACGTTACCAAGGCCAAGAAAAATAGGTAGCTTCCTTTTCAAAGAGATGCAAACTGAGCAATTCTGGGACTCTCCGCAGTGAAAATTCAAGAAAAAAGAAAATGTGGTTGCTTTCATTGGATTTTGCACAGCAACTCGGTAGTGTTTGTAGGTGCCTTTGATGTCGTTGCTGGAGGAGTATTGGTGGTGAGATCCGGAGCCCACAGCCAAGAAAGAATTCTTGAGCCGTCTTTGGTGCAAAATGGTGGTTTTAACTAAAGTTCAGGGACAGGACCCAGGGACAGACAGAGCTGCTACCCCGGGGTTGTGAGGAGCAACTGACAGTAGGCTTCGGGGTTGGGGGAAGTAAAGATAAGGGAAGTTCCGGAAGTGCTTTCACGTGTTACAGGAGATTCACAGGATATAGGAGGCTTGGCTATTCCCAAACCAAAGTTGTTTGTCCCTCTGGCAAGGCACTGAGATAAAGTCAGGAGCTTCAGGGCAGAGGCCTACACTCTGCTGCCTCTAGTATTTGTCAAGTTGCTGCAGGTTATATGGACATCTAGTTGGTTTTGTTTGTTTAAAGATTTTATTTAGTTATTTATTTGATAGAGATCACAAGTAGGCAGAGAGGCAGTCGCGGGGGCGGGGGTGGAAAGCAGGCCCCCCACTAAGCAAGAGCCTGATGCGGGGCTCGATCCCAGGACCTGAGATCTTGACCTGAGTGACCTGAGCCGAAGGCAGAGGCTCAACCCACGCAGCCACCCAGGCGCCCCTGGACACCTAGTTTTATCTACATTTCTTTTGTGCTTCAGTTTCCCATATCACCTTGCTGTAGAATACTTACCTTTTAAAGTATGTTCTTCCTCCTTTTGAAAAAGCAAAGGAAAACAAACAGCCACAAAACCAAACCCTGCTTGTCTGTCCTATGCTCACTCAGCGGGGAGGAGCTGAAGCACTAAGCCCTGACCTACGTGGGAACAGAGCAAGGAGAAAGACCACCAACGGAATAAACAAGCAAAATATATAGCGTCCTAGACAGTGACGAAGTGTTAGATGGAGAAAAACAGAACAGGAACGGTACACAGAGAATGAGGCCTGAGGGCGGTTGCAGGGCGTTCCATTATAAACAACGTGTCTTCAAGATGAAGTTTTCGGAAGGGTTAGGAGGTGATGTGTTGAACATCCTTCATCTGTAGGAAGAAAGGTTCACATGGAGAGCAGTGAGTGCAAAGGCCCTGAGGTGGAAGCCCACCTGGTAGGCTTGATGGACCACAGGAGGTCAGAGCAGCTGGAGCAGGAGAGAGCAAGTAAGCTAGACATCACGTCTGTGAGGAGGAGGGTGGGGGGAGCAGGAAAGGACACTGGGGTCTAGAGGTCATCCTAAGGGCTGTGTCTTCTACTCTGAATGAGATAAAAGGATACCAGAGGATTCTGAGCAGGGGAGAGACAGGATCTGTCCTACACAAGGTCGTCCAGGTGGCCATGGCAGATGCAGAGACCTGGGGGAGACAATGTGTGCTGGAATTAGCGTGATAACAGAGGAGCGTTCAAAGCTATTAGCAGTCTGGGTATATTTTGAAGGTGGGACCTAGAGGATTTGCTCTGAATTGTATGTGGAATAAAAGGAGGGAGGAGGGATAGAGAGAGGAACCAAGGACAAGCATGTGGAAAGTTGGGGTGCCACATCCATCTTTATCAGCTCAAGGCTGACAGCAGTCCTTCTCCAACCTCAGCACGACCGCGGGCCTGGGACCCGGATCCCTCTTGGTGGCAGTGGTGGTGGTGTCCTGCGATGTTTAGTTGCCTTATGAGGGCAGCCAGAGGGGACTGTGAGCAAACAGCCTCCCTAGGGTCCTGCAGCTGATGCAGCGGAGGACGTGTGGAAGCTTGAGGTCCCGCCCTCGGCCACACCTGCTAGGCCAGGACCCCAACCTTCACACCCATAAAATACTGGTCTCCTTTTCTGTCGTTCATATCCACAAGACCCACCTCGACTTCAGAACAACAGTGCTGTGTCTGTAAGCTGTTCTCTGAGGGAGCCACGGGCAGGGAAGTTGCTACCCTCCCTGGGGTGGACCCAGTGGGTGGAGCCCTCACCTGAGACGGAAGACAGTGTTGCCTACTTGTTCTGCTATTTCTTTATACTCATCTCTTACTGGAGGGATTGCCGGGTCAGGCGTACCTACTCTGTGCCATTTAGGATTAGTTTCCCATGGACAGGGATAGAGAGCCCCAAATAAATGGAGTTTAAAAGAGACATTTCTCTCACAAAAAAAGTTCTGAGATAGACCATTTGAGGCTGGCCTGGCAGTCTGTTCTACAAAATCTATGGGACTCCTTCCAGCTCACAGCTCTGCCAGCCAAGAGGGGACTCTCATCCTCCTCCTGCGGGTTGGAGCTCCAGCCATCACACCCACGTTCCAAGCAGCAGGAGTG